TCATCTGCTTCCAGCTATGAATGGTGATGCAATTAAACATTTTATCAGTATCTGATAAAGGCTTTGTCACCTAAAAGCCTCTTTATTGTAACACTTTGCAGTAGATGTCATGATAAACATCTTCCGTATTTTTATTTGCTTTAAATGGAAAGCCAAGCAACTCTTAGTCTGGGTTCATCATCATGCAGGATGACCCTTTGCTCTCAGGCCCAGAGTAAATGGGGATACATGGACCTCCTGCAGGCAATTCCTCAACAAAAGTGGGAATGAAAAGCATGTTTCTGGGGAACAGACACACTGGTTTGCCCAGCTCACTTGATAGCCTACAGGATAGACTGAATACAAATTTGTTGTTGTAAGAAGAGATTTTCTGCCTTTGTCTGGGGCTGACTCCAAGTGCACCCTTTGTGCTTCTCCAGTGGTTGTGTTAGGAATAAGGAGATCTTATATCTCTTCTCCCTGACACAAACACCCAGTGCTTTCCATACAGCCTTTGAAGTACAATGGGGATTTCACTGATGCCTATCACTAAAAAACTGATTCACCATCTGGTAATGACCACTGCATTCATTTTCTATGCCTCATTGTATCTAGCAGCAAGAATTAACTGGGACCTTTTAGGAAGCTTTTTCCAGTTAAAACACAAGATATATTTAGATTTCTTTTGTTCAAAATACAGTTTAAAATACAGACAAAAAAGAACAGAATTAACTGACAGGGTTTTTGCAATCTCAGAATCCAATACATGATTTTCTTAATAAAGGAAGATAATAGCAGGTAATATATATGTGTACAATAGAAAACATTTCTAACAAGGTTCCCATTGTTAAGAGCTCCTCTTCAGACCATAGCCCTGCTTATCTTTCCAGCAGCAGCCTATTACACTGACATTTCACAAGCTGAGCCAGGTAAATCTAGATGGGGCTGGGTACCATATTTCATTGCCCTTTAATCTAAACTCACTCATATTCAGAACCCTTTAGTCCATTCTGTCTTTTATCTTGCTGGTTGCTTTTGTTAATGGGTTATTTCCATTTTCTCTTTTATCTTAATGATTTTTGACTAGGAATAAAGAATTGTTTCCCGCCCAGACTTCAGAACTGCAGGGCCAGCTCTTCACCTTGTTGCATCTGGTGTGAACTGGGGTGCTCTTAAAAAAAATGAGTCAGTTTATATTCACTTTATTTGAGAATGGTTTAAAAGTTTTTTAAGTTGTAGTTTTATAAGGGTTGCTTTTAACACCAGACAAAGAAACTTGTGCTATAACTGGCTTTTGTTTCCAGGCCCATGACACTGGATATTAGGTTTGGAGAGTTAGCACAGCCATCTCATCAGTGTTGTGCAATGGGACACTCATAGCTCTCATATACAATTGATTTCCTTGTTGTGTTTTGGTGGATCAGCTTCAGGAATGACCTGGGCCTGAAAATGTGGAGAGGTTTTAGAAAACAAGAATATTTTTACTGCCTGAAATTAGCCATAAGCAAAATGCAGAGTGTATATCTCTCTCTATATACAGATGCCTCTGAATACAGGACAAAACAAAGAAACAAACAACAAAAAAACCAAAATAAAAAAAAAAAACAAACAACAAGAAAACCACTAAAAAACCCCCCAAAAAACCCCAAAAAAACCCCAAAAAACCAGTTTCCTGGTGCTGTGGAATTTTCTAAAGGAGATTTTGTTCTTCGTGTATTCAAAAACTATGCAAATATCCAGGCTTCATAGAAAATGAAATGGAAATTAAAGGGGTTTTGACCTAAGAGATACCTGTAAAAGGGTATTCACAGCAAGGGAACACTTTAAAGTGTTCCCACATTTGTAAGAATGATACTTGGAGTTATTTTAAACTGACACATTAGAATAAAAGAGATTTAGTTCACCTGCAGTCAAATAGTAAATACTTAATTTGGAGTCCACAAAAAAATGAAAAGTAATTTCATTTTGGATATGTACAGAATTTACTGCAGAAAAATCCATATTATAAAAAGTGTTTGACTAAATTCTAGCAAACCTTTTCAAAACCGTGAGTGTTTTCCAAAAGAGTCAGAGCTGTTTTGAAAATAACTTCTTTTAATATAGATTTTTGAATAAGATTTTATTTTCAATAGGCATTTCTCTAAAGATACTGTTCTTGCTTTCATACAAATCAGGACTTCTTTCACACAGAAATATAAACTTACAAAAGCCCAGATGTTAGGGAAAATAACAGGAGATAGCACTGTCTTCAATCCTTTTCAGGGAGTTATGGAACAAGAATCATAATCACAGAGACAAATGCTTAAATCTTCCTGATGGATATCCCTTTATCCCCCTTCTCCTTCTTTTTGGTTTAAGGTTGGGGTACGTGAAAGGAGCCTACAAGGAAGATGGAGAAGGATCTTTTTTACAAGGGCCTGGAATGACAGGACAAGGGGGAACAGCTTTAAGCTGAAGGAGGGTAGATTTAGATTGGATATCAGGAATTGCTCCCTGTGAGGGTGCTGAGGCCCTGCCACAGGTTGCCCAGAGAAGCTGTGGCTGCCCCACCCCTGGAAGTGTCCCAGGCCAGGCTGGATGGGGCTCTGAGCAACCTGGGCTAGTGGAAGGTGTCCCTGCCCATGACAAGGGGTTGGAAATGAAATTGTTTTTAAGGCCCCTTCCAACCCAAATGCTTCTGTTACTCTTTAATTCTGTGATTTATGTACATGGTGGATGCCAATGGGCCCCAGGTATTGTTTGGGAGCCCGTGTAGGTGATGTAGGAGCTGTTTCTCCTTATCTGATTAGGCTGTTGGGCAATTCTTAGTACTACTTAATCCAAACCAGACTGAACAAAGTCCTTTGAGGTCAGTCTGGAGCCTGATCCCTGAAAGCTTGTAGTCATGCTCTTTTAATGCTCAGCCCTGCTCTTTTCCTTCAAAACTCCACAGTTCCTGCTCAGGCAAGGTTTGTGCAGGCCCTTAGGAAACCCCAAAATCTCCAGGCCTGGGCCACCCAGTGCTTTGGTGGGGAATTCAGCAGTGCGATCCCACCAGGGCACGCTCAGGCAATGGGATGGTGCTCTAAGCAAACCCATAAAAAAGTTGCTGCTCTGCTTCTGGCCAGTGGGAGAGGACAATCAAGAAGGCATCTGAGCAGGCTGCACTTGAAAGCTTTCTTAAATCAAGGCTGAACAGAGGTGCGATGACCGCACGGTGAGGAATCTGCCATCCCACACATGTTGCAGAGTATGGTAATGAATGCACCCACTGACAGGGCACCGTGGTTTGATTGAAGAAGCAGGGATGGGGCTGGAGTGTCTGAGCTGCATTGTGGAGCAGCTCAGGGGAGCCCAACTGCAGAAGCAAGAGGGAGGAAGTTACTCACAGCCTCCAAATCAGAAGGCTGGGATCAGAAACCATGGACCACTCTTGTGCTTTTCAAGGGTTGAGTGACCCCTGCACACCAGGGCGTGGCAGCCCCCAGAAATGCCATGGTTGGACTGGAACAGTGTACGGGTACCAGGGAGTGGTTGTAAATTAAATGTGGGGATTCCAACTGCGACCTGGTGGCTGATCATCACCATGAGAACCCCGTTCTTTGTCATGGCCACTTAGGAAAAAAAACAACTAAGAAGACTCCAGGAAGGCTAAAATGTATTCAGAAAATTATTTTAAAAGCAGGACCTTTTTCTTTAGTCAAGGGTGATGAAAATTCAAACACAACAGAGTTCCTGAGTCTCAGATGGGAGCAAAGTTGAGAAATCTGACCAAGTCCCTGCTAAACCCCATGGGGGCTCCAGCTCTTGGTAAGCCCTTCAGCTGCCTGAAGAGAGACCTGTAAACACACATTTGCACACCTTTGTGAAAGAACCACCTCCATTCACTTAGGATTTGGGTCACATTCAAGCTGAGACCCTCTTTGCCCAGTCCTGCTGTGCTGGCTGTGAAACTCTCCTGCCTGTTTTTAAGTTCTTTCATGTTGCCAAATTGAGAGTTTATGTAAAGGAGAGTCAAGTCTGGATCAACAAAATTCTAGAGATTTTGTCTGTCTTTTTTGGCAAGGATAGCATTATCCCAACCACTTCTACTGGCTTCACCATCGTGGCTTTTGATATGCAAATAAAGCTCTTCACAAAATTTCCAGGTGTTAAAGCACGTATAAAAGATACAAAAAAAACATATTCACACATACACGAGCTCTTTCCTACTGCATATTGGAAATATGTTAAGGCTTTGTTTTGTTTTTGTGTTCTGACACTAAGTCAAATATTTGCATTCTGTTACTTAATTAACCGTACTAATCAACAGGAAAATCCAGGTTCTCTGTTGTTGTTTTGGATAAAAAATTTCCCTGGTGTGATTTGACAGTGGAAAGCAATTGCCTTGGTGGAAAATACAGCTAGCTAAATGCTAGGAAAGAATTTATTAACCTGGAGTGACATGGCTTTTGAGGCAATGAGTTACTTATTTTTCTTTCAAAGTGATTCACTGAGTGAAATGAAGAATCATAAAATCATAGAGTGTTGTGGGCTGGAAGGGAACTTAAAGACCATCCAGTTCCAACCTCTTGCCATGGGCAGGGACACCTTCCACTATCCCAGGGTGTTCAGAGGCCCATCCAACCTGGCCTGGGACACTTCCAGGGGTGGGGCAGCCACAGCTTCTCTGGGAAACCTGTGCCAGGGCATCACCACCCTCACAGGGAACAATTTCTTCCATAATTTCCTGTACTTCTTTGACTTTCCCTGGTGAATCACATTTTAAATGATGGGTTAGATTTGGAAATCTCTTCATGCATAGAAGGGAATTAAACTGAATTCCTTACTTCCTGGAAGAAAGCTCTATGCTACATCAGAGGTGACACTGGCAGAGCTGGTGGATGCCTGGCTGGACTATACAAATTCTTACTTTCAAGAACACCAACTTTGCATCCACACTATCAATTCTCTTGTGCATGAGGCCCATCCACTTGTCAGATGGTTTTCTAGCTCTCATGGAAATTTTTTGTGCAGTTCCACTAGTAACCAACAAGTCATACATGCACGTGTCATCTTTCTACCAAGAAGCAGGAGAAAGGTCTTCAGGACTTCAGTTTCTCAGGTTTCCAAACAACTTCAGGCTATTAACTCTGAGGACTTCTGAAAAAGCAAAAAAAAAAGAGAAAAAAAGGAAAAAGAAAAAAAGCAGCAAATTCTCTCTGTGATAAATGTTGGATTATTTTTGTGTGCATTCTTGGCAAATAAGACAATGTGCAGCCCTGGGAGACCACACTACTGAGTAGTTTTTTGAAAGCAGCAACTCTCTCAACAGAGTTTCTGCCAAGGTAATAACAACAAACAATGAGCTGCTTGTTGTCAGAACCCTGAGGAGGCAGAAGGAAAAGTGTCTTGGAAGCAGATAAACTTTAAGTTCTGCTTTGAGTAGACAAGAGAGTGCTGAAAGATTGTCATTAGTGATAGGGAGAAACTGGAAAAGACAACAAATTTTGGAAGCCCAGTAGAGATCTGGATCATTGTAAGGTTAGGCAAAGTATTTGTTTGGAATGCAATGATATGTGCACTTGTTTGGTGTGTGTGAGAGAGTAAGACAATTCTGGGGAGCTGGCTTCCAGGTCTGATTGCAGAGTGACACCCCAGTGTGCCTGGAGAGCACAGCTAAAGTTGTGAAAACTGAATCCTGAAAAAGATTCTATCACTTTGCTCAGTACAAGGGGTGGTAAAATAGCTTTTGGAACCAAGCTGCCCCTGTAGGCAGCCACCACTGCTGTCAAAAGAGCCACTCCTTTCCCTTGTTTTATGTTTTGTGTGAGCCCATGGGGAGAAATAGGTTGCTTTCCTTTTGGAAACGATTTTGGGGTTTGTCTGGAAGGAACACTTGGCTGAAGCTCAAGTCAAACCACAAAACAGAGGAAAAGACTTCCAGTGGTCCATTTTTTCCCTTCTGGGTAGGTGTTGATTTGCTGATGTCTTTGGTCAACATACTGGTTGTTCTCAGAATCATTCTGAGGCCAGACAACAAACAATGGTTCTGGCATTTAATGGCTTCAGGATGGGAACAGCAGGGAAATAAAGAAAAAAAAATAAATAAATTGGGCAACTGCAATGGCTGGCTCTTTATTTCAATCCATCCTGAAGTATCAAACCAGTGCAGGATCATCCCTGGATCTTGGTCTCCTTCTGGCATCACTCCTTTGGTTTCAGTGAACTCCTTTGCTTTAAGTAAGGAGTAAGTAAGTTAGTACGGGATCAGTTCTCAGCTATGAGATCCCTGTAATTTATTTTTCCAATGTCAAAATTTTATTATTGATAACTCTTGGAATAGGCATATAAGTCTGAACCTGAAAGCTGGTGTAATTTAAAGGCTTCCATTATCTTAAGTCCTGGGTCTGTCCCAATACCTGATATTGGCAGTGTGTATCCCAAGTTGCAACAAGTAGTATCTTTGTTTTAAATCAATTTTGCCCAAATGAGTAAAAGTTGCTGGGAATGTGTACACAGTGTAGAAGGGCAATATATGTACTCAGCATGTGAAGACAACATAATGGGTATGAATGTCAAATATTGAAACTAGTTCAGAAGACAGAAGGCACAGTTTGATAAATTCTTAGAGTCTGGCATCTAAAAGCTCCTAATTTACAGGGTTTTTTTTTGCATTTGGTAGCTTAAAAATGAGACTGCAGGGAAAATCCCTGTCTCACTATAGCTGATAGAAATTCCAGAGGGGACAAAATGTCACCTCTTTGTGCATAAGGCTGTTCTTGTCAATGAATGTGAATTGAACTAATAAATTGCTTTATCTGCCCCCTCTATGCGTGTTCAGTAATTACTCACATCTGTTACCTAGGTTTTGGGTGGTTTCTAAGAGAGTTGCTGGCTTTTAATGGAAGATTTTTCCTATAAAGCACAGAATACATGGTTCAGAACAAGAATTCACCAGTTTCCTCAGGAATCTGTGGATTAGGAACTGGGAGAGGTAGGTGTAAATTTGGTGAGCACTGAGTAGATGTGTGATGAAGAGTGAGGATATAGCAGGAGAAACTGAGCAGGCACGATAAGGGAAAGACTGCAGGCAAATGATGAAGTTGGAAGTAGCTGGGAAAGCAGAAAGAGACTTAAAGACAACAAGTGGACTGGGTTTAGCTGCAGGAATTAAAGCCGACAAGATACTCCCCACTGGAACTGGAAGGGAACCCAGGAGCCAGGCCAGCACACAGCTCTGCGGTTTGCTGGCAAAACGTGATGGTCCACACTAGAAATGCAAAACTATTGCAGCTGTTCTCCACTCCCTGAGCTCCAGGAACCGAGATTAGGCTGAGGTGACTCACACAGTGTCAGGAAAATGCGCTTTGATGAAGTGTCCCTTTTATTGCCTTGGTAATTTTAGAACAGACATCATGTGTGATACATGGCAGGACACACACACAGGCTTGGCTGCCTTCTGCCAAATATGAGACTTGGGATGGACTCCCAGTGGCTGTTGTCCGTGCAATAGGTGGGTCTGAGGAGCTTTACAACTCTTGCCCATCTTTCAGGGCACAGCCTGGAATCTGATCCAGCACTAGGCACTGCTGTGGGTTGTTTCACATCCCAACTTTGGATTTGTGGGAGCTCTAGGTCATTGTGGCTGCAAGGGTACTCTACACACAGCATGCTAATGTTCCTAGGAATTCTGAATAACTGGACCCTTCACATTCAACTGTCACATGAGCAATATTTCTTATTTTAACCTATTCTTCTTATCCCCATCAGTAAAGGACGTTTTGGGGATAAATGCTCCTGTTCATTAAGCCTTCAGACACAGTGCTGAAGTACAAGGAGTACAAGATGCTCAGTCAAGCACATCCTTCCCCTCCCTTACTGTGACACTGAAGGACTCAGAGATGTGATTTATGCTTCTGCTTGTAGGAAATCCCATGGGGAAGTGAAGCCTTCTGTCTTCAGAACAGGATTTTGGTAAGAGAGGCCTGAGGCCACACACAGCATGAGAACTGAGTGAGGAAGATGGCCGTGAATGGAACACAGAGTATCCTGGGCACTTGGAGCATGCAGAAAGAGAAGTGCTTTAAGAGGAGAAGATAAAAAAGGCCTGAGGACCACTCAGTTCCAGAATTTATCACATTTCAACCTCAAAAGAGATGAGCTACAGTTCTCCAGGATGTATTTAATTTCTGACATTTTCTGTCTGTTAAGTGCTTGACCTGACAACTTTAACAGGGTTTAATATCTTTCTGAGAGTGAGAATTCATGCGTATACTCACTCACAAGCCAGGTGTGTGCACTATAGTTACTTAACATAAACATTAGATACATATTTGAATTCAAAAGCACTTGTAGAAAGCAGTTTTTAGTTACCATCACTCTTATAACTGATATTCCTCACTTAGGGAAGTGTTAGATTGTATTTGTGGTGTCTGGTCCTTATAAAACCTCTGGAGAGGAATGGGTTATGTAAAGATTGTTTCCTTCATTCTTAAGACAAACTTGCAGTCTGTGTTAATAACCAATCTGCATGGAGATTTTTTCCAGCTTCTTAAAAAAATTGCCCCCAGATCTTGCTTCCCTCTTGTAGCCAAACTGCATCTGGTGCCCAGCTGATTTATGTGTCAGGACAGCTATAGCAGGCTGGTGTGTATGTACAGAGTTTCACAAACATGTGATGCATTCAGGCTGGAGCTCACCGTCATCCTGCATTCCCCATATGGGGGAAGCAGGATAAGAAATCATTGTTTCCTTTCAACAAGTACAGAAGAAAAGCAGAAACCAGTCCAGGATGTTGCCTGAGAAATGTCTGATCACAGAATCACAGACTGGTTGAGGCTGGAAGGGATCAAGCAGCTTATCTTGTCCCACCTCCCTGCTCCAGAGCACACAGTACAGGATTCTGTCCAGATGGTTCTGGAGTATCTCCAGTGAGGAGACTCCCCACCCTCTCTGGACAATCTGTTCAGGGCTCAGTCACTGCCCAGGACAGAAGTTCTGCCTCATGTCCAGGTGGAACTTCCTGGGATCAGTCCCTGCCCGTTCCTCTGGTGCCATTGCTGGGTCCCCCAGAGCAGAGCCTGGGCCCTGCTCTGAGCCCTCCCTGCTCACAGGGACACCCAGGCCTGAGGGCCCCTCTCAGCTGGGGCTCCTCTCGAGGCTGGACAGCCCCAGCTCCCTCAGCCTTTCCCTGTCAGAGATGCTCCAGGCCCTAAATCATCTCTGCAGCCTCTGCTGGCCCCGCTCCAGGAGCTCCCTGTCCCTCCTGTGCTGAGGAGCCCAGGGCTGGACACAGCTCTCTAGGTCTTACTAGGGCTGATTGTTCAAGTCATACCTGTAAGAGTCCTCAAACATGCCCTTCCTAAAGTCAGAAGTCTGCATTTAGTGAAAGCAAGGTGCTTTCTGCTCAAGGCAATAAGAAAGCCCAAGAAGCCTTCTTGGCCCCTCTCTTGACAGGCAGAAATGTATGTGACATTGGCCCTTTTTCAGTCTAAAGAAACTTTTCCTGGTTTCCAAGAGCTGTTGAAGATGATGAGTCTCACAGTGACACTGTAGGGTTCCCTTATCACCATTACAGCCCTACCAACTATTCCCATGAACAATTGGTTTAAGTGCTCCCTAACGCTGTCTTCTTCCTGCAGTCATGAAGAAATAATAAAGGTACCTGGGATGTCCTGTGCAGGGCCAGGAGTTGGACTTCAATGATCCTGATGATCCACAGCAAGTCTTAGAGGCCTTGACTTCAAGACTTGTTTTACCTGCCTGAAGAGGGTTTGCTTACCTGCTTACTCTTCCCAAGTAGGTGATCTGTAGTAGATTCCTGCCCGAACTATTAGCCTTTATTCTGATCATTCCTCACAAATTCTTGATTGGTTTATCAGCAGTTCTAAGGTTATTTGGACACCTGAGCTATCTTGGACATTTCTGTTCAGGTCTCTCCCACCTTCCATTTCTGGTGATAGAGCAGTTAGACTCACCTCAAGTTTAACTGCATGTCCTGGTGTAAAATCTGCAGCAAGAGAAAATGGAGGCTGGAGAGAAGAAGTAAAGGACAACAAAAGAAAACAAGTAAACAAAAAAAAGAGAGGAAAATAATACAAAAGGAATAATTTTGTAGCTGGCAGAGACTAAAGTGTTATGAGCACTTCCTTCCTTCTTTTTAACCTCCTGGCAAGGTTATAACTTCATG